TTTAACTTTACTCTGCTTTTTCAAAATTGCGTTGGTGACTCTACTTCTTTTTACTTTCCACATAAATTTTACAATAAGCTTGACTGTGTCTACAGAAATTCCTACTGAAATTTTTACTGGAATTGTGTTAAATCTATAGATTAAACTGATGAGAACTGACAACTATATGACGTCTTCCCATCTGTAAACATGGCGTGTCTCTCCATTTATTTAGGCCTTCTTTGACGTTACTCAACATTTCATAGTTTTCAACATAGAGATGCCACATGTTTGCCAAATTTTCTTTTTTCCTTCTGGAGTTATTGCAAATGGAGTAGCTTGTTGAAATTTATTTTCTAATTGTTCATCACTACTACATAGATAATTTTTGTATGTTTGTTGTGAACTTGTTAAACTCTTAGTTTAGTTCTTAGTGTTCTAAGAGCATCTTTGTTGATTCCCTGGGATTTTCTAAGTGGACAATTGCATCATCTGAATGAAGACATTTTATTTCTTCCTTTCTAAACCTTTCTAAACCTTTCTAAAGCCTTTCATTCCTTTTTCTTGCCTGATTGCGCTGGCAAGGATTTCCAGTACAAAGTTGAATAGGAGTGTCTGAGTGGACACATGGACTTGTTGCTGATCTTATTATCATTCAGTTGATTACCATTAAGCATGATGTTAGTTGTGGGGTTTTGGTAGATGCTCTTTACTAGGTTGATTTCTCCTTTATTTCTAGTTTTCTGAGTTTTTATCATAAATGGATATTTAATTTTGTTATCCACCCCCAATCAGTTGATATGATTGTGTATTTTTTTCTCTTTCTTGTTCAGTTTGGATAATACGTGTGATTCTACAAGTTCACTCTTTTCTCTGTCATCTCTATTCTGCTACTGAGTTCTTCCAATATTTTTTGGTAAATTTTGTTATTTTATTTTTCAGTTCTAAAATACCCACTTGGTTCCCCCCCTTTTTTTAAACATTATCTATTTTCCTCCTGAGAATTTTGAAGTTTCCATTCAAGAATGGTCATGCTTTTTGAAATACTGTTGTAACACCTACTTTATAATTCCAACATCTATGTTATCTTGGGATAGTGTCTGTTGTCTTTTTCCTAAGAATGTTGGAATTTTTCTGATTTTTATATTTTGTGCAATTCTGCATTATATCCTGGACATTTTGAATATTATGAGACTCTGGGTCCAGATCAGGGCTGAGTGTAGGCTTGCATACACAACTCTAGGAGACTACTTTGGGTTTCTTTTTCTCTCACCACCTGACACATTCCAGCTCCCAGGGGCTACTTCTTTTTCCTGGTCTTCTGGTTAAAAATCCAAGGCTTTGGGTTCTCTCTGCTCTCACTTCATGGATATATTTACCTCCAGGTCCAAGTAGCAGGAAAGTAGTGCCTCTGAACAGAAATAAGGGTTCCCCTCCCTCAAAGGTTTAGATGCCTGCTTAACCACCACTGTCCTTACCACAGGAATGTCTGGGAGTACCAGAGTGGTCTTACTTCACATTCTGGTTTCCTTCTTAAGTCTGTCTTCTACCATACTAGTCAGGGTTCTCAGATGGCTGCTCCCTGCATTCTCTCTAGGGTTTTTATTTATATTTGGTGGGAGAGAAAGGTGGCAGGTGCATACTCCATTTAAACTGGAACAAGAACAGTTTAACTCAGTCGGTTAAGGATCCAACTCTTGATTTCAGTTCAGGTCTTGATCTTGGGGTCGTGAGTTCAAGCCCCACATTGAAAAATAAAGTGGAACAAGAATGAACCAAAAGTTATTTTATTTCCAATGATTACATCCCCAGGAGATAAACTCTCAAATAGGAAATTTATGTGAGTACAAAGGAAAAATTCTTTTTTTAATTTTTATTTATTTTTTAAAAGATTTTATTTATTTGACAGAGAGAGACACAGTGAGAGAAGGAACACAAGCAGGGGGAGTGGGAGAGGGAGAAGCAGGCTTCCCGCGGAGCAGGGAGCCCGACACGGGGCTCAGTCACAGGACCCTGGGATCATGACCCGAGCCAAAGGCAGATGCTTAACGACTGAGCCACCCAGGTGCTCCTAAAGGAAAAATTCTGACTGGAAGCTTCATCACATTATGCAATCACTTTTTGCCTCAAATTTTTATTAAAATTATAAGCATACAGAAAAATGTGAAGGATGACCAATGAACACCTCTATATCCTCCACAAAGTTGACTAATTTTTCACAACAGTTGACTAATTTTTTACATACTTACCGGAAAATGTGCTGCAGACACCATGACTTTTTAAACTTGAAAACTTTTACATGCATCTTCTAAGAATAAGGACATCATCCTAAATACCTCAATACCACCATCACTTCTAGGAAAACTAAACATATGACATTATCTAAAACCCATTCCATCCTCATACTTCCCCCAAGTACCCCCTCCCAAGTGTCTTTTATAGTTGCTCTAATTTTTCTGAATCAGAAGCCAACTAAGGATCACAACTTGCTTATGACTCTTGAGTGCCTTAATCTAGAAGTCTCCTTTTTGTTCTACTATGTTGGCTTCTTGAAAAATCCAGACCAGTTGTCTTGTACAAAGTCTCAAACTCTGGGTTTGTCTATTTCCTCATCGTGGAATTTGACTTGTTGCTCTCTTGTCTTTCTTATGAATAGGAGCATAAATCTGGATAAGAGGTTTAATTAGATTTTCATTAAACACTCTTGGCAAGAATACATCACAGATGATCACGTGTGCCTCATACTGCATATCATCAGGAGCCACACAATGTCAGGTTGTCCCACCAGTAGTGAAACTCAGTTTGACAGCCAGATCTCTCCATTAGAAAGGTGTATCTTTTCTTTGCAATTGGTATTTGTGAACTTTGACACCATATAATGTTCCTTAAATTTTTTTTCACCTAATGGGTTTATCATCCATTCAATTTACCTAGTTTAATCACATGAAGGGTTATAAAAGTGATTTTTCTAAATCTGTCATTCCATATACAGTTAAAAGATGGCATTCTTCGGATTAGTTTATAGAGAGCTTTCCTTTTTTTTTTCCCCACCATTTTTTTCATTATGGGCTCATTTTTACTTAGCATGTTATAACCAATTACATTGACTGTTATTTTTGATGTTTAAATTATCTTAACTTTGACCAGTGAGAGCACCTTCAAGATGGCTCCCATGTCCTTCTGACATTATCCTTTGAGTGCTTTGTCTTGAAGTGCTATCTTTTTTATTTGTTTCATAAAAAGATACCTCAGACACATCTTCTACTTTCCCTGCTCCAGATATGGAATCAGCATTTCTCCAATGAGCCCAGGTTCCTTTTAGTGGGGAATAGCATTTGGAAACCAAGATCTGGGTACTAAGCATGCTCATAACTATTGGATAACCAAATATGTTTTTCTCTAGAATATCTTGCAAATGACTCTGTCCAGTGTTAAACACTGAGGTCTTTTTAAAAGCTCATTTCCTTGTAAGTATACTTAAATATATAAAAAGATGTTTTCAAATGAGCTAAGGCAAGTCAAGAAACATGCTATGCTGAATGCCTGCATTTAATTCTAAAACCTTTCTCAGACAGAAGGTTCTAACTACTTTTATTAGAACACTTTTTTAAATGATACCAATAGTGAAAGTGAGATATAAAATTGTGGGAAGTGGGCCCAGGGGAAAATGCAAGGTATGTTAAAAATATGGAAAATGTTTGGAAAGCCAATTTTAACTGATGACTAGAATGTTTAATAATAAAATATTCACATATCACTTTACACAAAAGAATTCCTAAAAGATGAATAACAAAAACAAACTAAAAGGCAATCTTATATGTGAAAACCCCAAAAGCAATTTCACCATCTGGACCTAAGCTGAGTCTGAGGATTTATGTACAGTTATTATAAAAGCAGGTATAATTAGGGACATAGAAGAAAAAGAAAGAACAAGACTGTAAGATTGCAGTTGGGGGAACCTGGCAAACATAGAAATAAAGCTGCTTAAATTACTGCAATTGTGCCTAACCAGTTTACAAAATAAACAGTGACTAGTACTCTTAGGACTCGAGGTTGGAAGCCAATGATTATAATTCATATCTATAATTATCCTAGAAAACCAGAGCTGAAAACTTAGATTCTAGCCTTGACTCTGCCCAATAGGCTCAATTTTGTTAGTAAAATGAAAGGCTATGAATAAACTAAATGAAAATTCCTCCTGGCTCTAATAAGCTACCAGGTATACACTCAGATTCTGCAAATACACACCCTTCTGCAACAGATGAGAGTATTTGCATGACAGTCTCCCTTGCTTTCGTTCACTGCACCTTCTATAATACTATCCTAAGACTCTATTCAGTGATGTCAAATCATATCAAATTAAGAAATAATATAAGGAAAAGGAAAAGAGATTCCATTTGGGCAAAATTTTAATTTCCAAAATGAAATTCTAAATTAATTTTTTAATCATCAGAGACTTTTGGAAAAAATATACATATATTCTAAAGCTATGTGTGTATGTCTGTATGTCCTATGTCCACATACATTTATATATACAACCTGCCGCTGAGGCAGTTCATAAAAAGTGAGCTTCATTATTTCCACATGAAAATTTGAATTTAAAAAATTCCTTTTTACCTTGAGTTTCTCTTTACAGAAAAGAGCGTGTCCTATGCTTGCTTGCCATTTTAGCAAATACGGCCTCACGCTTATTCACATTAACTCAATGACTAATTTAAAAGAAAATTCATATCAAAGCTTGCTCTTAGAAAGGGAGTAAACTCTAATGAAACAAATAAAATGTATATGCCATTATTTTCATGTTTTTCTTAAGTTAGGCCTTTTATATTTTTTCTACGAATTAAACATTTTTTCTATGTTCTTAGAAACCTTATTAGCATTTAATGTTCTTAGAAAATTTGATAAATCAGTACTCTTCATAATCCTACTGATCAATTTCACCACGACTTAGTGGGAACTATCGTATTTTCTCCAGAAGCAAAAAACAAAAAACAAAAAACAAAAAACAAAACAAAACATTTAATCTAATCCAGAGTCTGTGCCCTATTTATTATTCTTCAGTGAGGAGTCTTGAATTATTTGAGAGAAGAATTAAACTTCACCAGGCTTATCTGCTCTAAGAAATCTCTGATACTGAGTAAGGGAGGAGCTGTAGATAAAAGGCTTCCCATATTCCTTCCATTTATAGAGTTTTTCCTTCGTGTGAACTTTTTTGTGTCTGCACAGGTTTGATCTGTAACTGTAGGCCTTCCCACACTCCATACACTTGTAGAGTTTCTCTCCAGTATGGATTCTCTCGTGTTCGGTGAGGAAAGAATATTGGCTGAAGGCCTTCCCACACTGATTGCACTGGTAGGGCTTCTCTCCAGTGTGAATTCTCTGGTGCCTGTACAGGTTGGATTTGCAACCAAAGGCTTTCCCACATTCTCCACAAGTATAGAGCTTTTCCCCGGTGTGAATTTTACGATGTTCATTGAAGGAGGAATACTGGTTGAAGGTTTTCCCACACTCGTTACATTGATAGGGTTTCTGGCCGGTATGAATTCGCTGGTGTTCGAGAAGGGTTGAGATGCGTGTGAAGGTTCTCCCGCATTCCAAGCACTTACACAGCTGCTCCCCAGTATGAAACCTCTGGTGTTCAGCCAGGGATGCAAACTGGCTGTAACCTTTCCCACACTCACTGCATTTATAGGGTTTCTCCCCCGTGTGGATTCTTTGGTGTCTATGAAGTTTTGCTCTACAATTGAAGGCCTTCTCACATTCAGCACATTTATAGAGTTTCTCACCGGTATGAATTCTCTGATGTACGGTGAGGGTTGAACACTGGCTGAAGGCTTTCCCACATTCCTTGCAGTGATAGGGTTTCTCTCCGGTGTGCACCCTCAGATGCTTGATCAGGGTCGAACTGCTGCTGAACGCTTTCTCACATTCATTACATTTGTAAGGTTTCTCTCCCGTATGGATTCTCTGATGGGCAAGAAGGGATGATCTGTGGCTAAAGGTTTTCCCACACTCGTCACATCTGTAGGGTTTCTTGCCAGTATGAATTCTCTGGTGTTCAATCAGATGGAGACTCTGGGCAAAGCTTTTCCCACATTTGTGACAAATATGAGGTTTTTCTCCTGGGTAAATCTGGAAGCATCTCATTAGGTCAAAATTCTGTTTAAAATCTTTCCCAAAGGTGTAATATATATTGGGTATCCTTTCTATAGGAACACTCTGCTGTGTAACAAGAATTGTATTTATAAGTAAGCCTTTCCCCAATTCAAGACTTGTCTGCTTTACATCTCCACTCACGGTTTTTCTGTGGGAGGCCACCATTTGCCTAAGAGGTTTCTTTTGTTGCTCCTGTTCTGTCCCGCTCTCAAATCCCAAAGTTTGTCCAAAATTGGTGTCCCAGAGACCACACTTAATGGACCTTTTCTTTATTATTCCCTGAGATGTTTCTTCTCTAGAAATGCCCTGCCTGGGAGGCAAGGCTTCCATTTCGGGCCGAGTCTTGAGACCTGGAATGAGTCAGAAGCATGAATGATGGCACCTCTACTGGGATAGACATGCATTGGTAGAACCATAAAACTGGCAGTAGTCCATATAAAAGAGCTCTGAAACCTCTTTTGATCTCAAATATGGTCTTGCATCTGGGGAGAAACAGAATGGGATGGAGAGGTGAAGAGGGGAAGTAGTGTGGGAGAGTACAGTGGACAAATTAACACTGGAAACGAAAACATTGCAACTTGAGAGAAGTAAACACAGAGGCAAGAACTGGTTGAGCAGAAGGGATGAGGCTACAGAAAAATGTCAGCTCGTAAGCTCCAGCTGGATACCGTGGGATACTTCAGTTAATCATTTTCCACTCTGTATATGGAGCAATGAAGCAGGTAACTTGCCTTTTTTTTTTTGAAGTTTACTTATTTTTCTTAGTAATGTCTACACCCAATGTGGGGCTCAAAATCACAACCCCAAGATCTAAAGTCACACACTCCACCGACAGAGCCAGCCAGGTTTTCTCCTTTCTATTCACATGTGGCTTTTATTAGGTTTTTCCCCATGCTCTTGCTGAAAGTCTATACACATTAATTTAAAAATCTCTGCAATGTTTTCCTTAAGTTTTGTGAATCTGTATGTGAATCTGACTTCATATCACAATCTGTGAAAAGAGGACGTTCAGCTTTTAAAACTTACGGTGACCCTGAAGCAGGGCTGTGTTGAGGACATCTGATCTAAATTCAAGATGCTGACTATAAAGAGGAGGAAAATACGGAATCAATCGGCCATGTGCAACAATCTATCCCTGGTGATGGGAGGAGTAAGAGTTCTTCATACCACCCTGTCATCACTTTTCTCCTTCCTATTTGATCCCAAGGAGAAATAGATATATTTGTCTCTTCTAGTAAGCTCCAACCCAGAAGATTAACCTCCTTTGTAGGAATCTTTTTAGACTAATGAAAGTCTGCAAGAAATGTGGAGTCAGTATGCCTGAAGCTCAGATCTGATGGTAAGTGAAAGGGTTTAGCTTGAGCTGATTCTAAGGAAGTGTGGGTTAAAATCTGGCTCTCTTTAATCAATCCATGATTGAAAATAGATTAAAACTAGGCCTTTGTAATGAGGTAATTGTTTGTACTTAAACAATAAAACAGTATAACTAGGTTATTTATATTAATAAAATCCATTGAGTTTTAGTAATAAAATATAATTTATTAAAATCAAATAGTAAGAGGAAAAAGACATACAGGCTATAAATCTATATAAAAATACAGATTTTTCTTCATGATGTTAATGGGAAACCCAGCAGTTTGGATTTTAAAGAATCAACCAGGGTACCTTCTCTCTTTTCATCCTTTGCCACAATATGGCATTCCCTGCCCATCCAGAAACTTACCAGTCTACTCTAATCTCATTTTTCTAAAGAAATTTATCTAGTAAAGCCTAAATTAGCCATCTCTTTCTTAGGATTTCACAACATGTTTTACTTATATATTCTATCATTTAACTAATATATATTTATATGAAACCTGAAAATAATTCAAGTATTTGTTCAAGGAGAACAGTGGATATGTCTTACAGTTATTTGTTAGTCCCCTACTGTGCACACAAGTACACAGTTACATTAATGCATGTACATTAATACATTAAAAAGAAAATGCATGAATGGGCAGAAGAAGTTGGAAAAATTATGAAGGGCAGGTGACCTGAAAAATGAAAAGAGAGTCTCTCCTCTCATGCTGGATTCCTGAAACCTAATCAGTCATTTATTGAACAAATAGTGAATAATCAGCAAGGATAACATGAAGCAAACAAATGACTAGACAGGAATAGCATGTTTCCCCTTGGCATGAGAAGCCCTGAGTGTGTAATTCAGGTCTGAGGTTCAGAGAACCAAGATACCAGCATTGACGGTATTAGCGGGGAGTGGTTTTATGAAGGAAGCTGGATAGTAAAGAGGGGATGGGTTTCAGCAGAAAAAGAAAAGAGGACCCTGTGAGTCAGGAGGCCTGAGCAAAGTCATCTGGGGGGGAAGCAAACCTATTTAGGAGAGGCTTATTTACTAAATTAGGAAATCTAGGAGCGCCTGGTTGGCTCAGTCGTTAAGCGTCTGCCTTTGCCTCGGGTCATGATCCCAGGGTCCTGGGATCCAGCCCCGCATCATTGGGTTCCCTGCTCGGCAGGAGACCCGCTTCTCCCTCTCCCACTCCCCCTGCTTCTGTTCACTCTCTCGCTGTGCCTCTCTCTCTCAAATAAATAAATGAAATCTTAAAAAAAAAAAAAAGGAAATCCAGGTTGGAATTCATTAAAATTTTGATTCAACGGGATGAGGCCAAGCACAGAGTTCCTGAACAACAGGCCGAGGAACTCGAAGTATAAATACAGGTGTTGTACATTCTCCGGCAGGTAATAATAAGATGAAGTGGTCATATTTGGTTAAGTGGGCAGCTTGGACCAGCGTGAGGACAGAGTCGAAGCCGAGCAGTGAAGCAACTGCCGTAGTCTTTTTTTTTTTTTTTTTTTAAGATTTTGTTTATTATTGACACAGAGAGAGAGCAAGCACACGCAGGGGGAGCGGCAGGCAGAGGAAGAGGGAGAAGCAGAATCCCCGCCGAGCAGGGAGCCCAATGTGGGACTCAATCCCAGGACCCTGGGATCATGACCTGAGCTGAAGGCAGACACTTAACGGACTGAGCCACCCAGTCGTCCCAAGGCTGCACCGAGTTCTTAATTTTGAGCCTATCAGCACTGAGTTCATCATATAGGCAGCTCAATTAAATTCAAACACTCTTAGCTCAATGCAGGATATTTGATGCCAGAGGCACAGAATTCAAAGAAAGACCCGGTCTCTTCCTTAAATATATACAATCCAGTTAGGAAAATAAATAATAACAAAGTAACTATAATTCCCTACAACAGATGCTGTCACGGATGCGTTCAAGGCATGGAGAAAGTGCCATATGAATGCGAGTGATTGAGAAATGAACAGTGACTGGGAAGTAGGAGAAATAAGGAAAACCGACAGGTCAGGCAGACAGGTGGGTCTTGCACCATAAGAGGGTTTCCAGGGGGACAAGATGGAGGCGGTAATCCAAGAAGGAATGACAGACAAACTTAATGAGTGTGCAGGTTTGGCAGGAACATGAGCTGGTGTGGAAGGGGTCACCGATTCCTGTAAAGCAACACGGACACAGGCTATGAAGTAGGTTTAAGGTCACAGTAAGGAATGGGATGTGCCTCCGTGGATAACCAAGAAACAACAAAGTCTCCTAAGGCACAGGATTAATACACCTGAGTTTCGAAAAGATCGCTCTGTGGATGGTGCAGAGTGGGAGAGGAGAACAAAGCTCAGAGAGGGTGGTGGGTAACTTTCCCATAGCGCAGACCACTTGCGAGCTGTGGCAGGCCTAATGTGAGCTTAGGAATGTCTAAATTCAAACCGTGATCTTAAGTGCTATCCTGTACTACTCACTAGCCTCTTGGAGAAAAATATATTTTAATAAAGGTGAAGAGTATTTGTGGAAAAAAAAGCCAATAAAGGCAAGAATCATAGATTAAAGGCCAAACCACAAAGACAGAAGCAAAATACTGCAAATCCATGTCACGCGGTGAACAGAAATGAGAGATCTAGGTTTCTGTCACTGCTCTTCAGCTCTCTGGCTCTGTGAGCAAAGTGTTTTACAACCTCCGATTATGCTGTTTCTTCTGATATAAAGAGAGGTATCTAAACTTGACTGTCTTGAAGCTATCCTTCAACTCCAATGACCTACAGTTTTAGGATCAAGACCAGTGAGGTTAGCCGGGGCTAGGAGTGTGCAAACTACAGATCTCAGGGCCAACTCCAGCTCTGTTGCTGGAAGGCAGCCACACCTATCCACTTACCACTGTCTCTGGCTGCATTTGCATTACAAAAGGGGAGTTAAAGGGTTGCAGTAGAGACCCCATGGCCCCCAAGCTGAACTGTTTACCATCTGGCCCGTTGTAGAAAAAGTGTGCCAACCCCTGGTCTGGAAAGCCTACGGTGGTCAAGGAGAGCTGGTCAACTCTAACAGTGGGATGTGACAGCCCAGTCTCCAAGGCGATAAAAGGGAAATGTTAAGAAATCAGAGACACAGGAGCGTTGACAACACTCTGAAATATGTGGTTGGTGAGAGAAATTACAAAGAATTCAAAACAAGACAGAAGGTGTAAAGTATTTAAAATCCGTCAGGCATGAACCCGTGTAAACGCAGATGGGAAGAAAAACCATGAAGGCCAAGAGGCCAAGATGGTGGAAGGGAGTGGGCGAAGCCGCAGGAAAGGAAAAGAGGTAGAGAATGCAGGGAGTGTTAAGGAGGAGAAGAAAGAGGCCTAGCTAAGGGCCTTCTTGATGCCAAGAAAACCATTCCAATCACAGAGCCTCTGGTCAGGAGGCCCTGGCTCAGAGTTTCCAAGAAGTTCTCCCAGCACTGCTTCCTCATGGCCGGCTCATGTATGAAGACCCCTGCACCCATTTCCCAGCCACTCACTCACCTAGACAGGCGTCCCAAGGGAGTTCCCCGTCCACCACGCAGGGATCTTCTCCTTCCTGCAACTGGCAGATCACCTTCGGCCTTGAGAACGGAATCCCTGCTCGTGAGGAAGGGAATGCAGGTTGAACAGGTGGCACGAAGGGCAACTCCAGAGCTCACAAAGCAGAACCCACAGTGCAGAGGGGGTAGCCTGGGGAGGCAGAACAGGTAGCACCGGCGCTTCTGAGGGGCCTGGGCTCTCAGGGGATGGATCCGGGGGCGGGCCCCGGCTCTGCATGCCTCTACCCTGGCAATCCTGTATGTTTCTCAGACTCTAAACGGGGACCCAGGGATTGGAAGAGGAGGACACTGGCCAGGAGACGGGGAGGTGGGAGGAAGGCAGAGGCAGAAGAGCACAGCGTGAAGGGTGGCCTGACATCAACACACACACTTTCCACTCCACAGAGATTCATCCTTTCCCAGGGGCACGGCAGGAGAGAAGCTGTGGACTCTGAACCCCAAAGAGGTAGCTCCCCCGGCAGACTCTCCATCATGAGGAAAGGTCCTTACCCAGAGAGACGAGGGTGCCGTAGTTCTCCAGCATCACCTCCCGGTACAGGGTTCTCTGCGCGGAGTCCAGGCGCAGCCACTCGTCCTGGCTGAAGAACACGGCCACGTCCCTGAATGTCACAGACTCCTGCAACGGGAACCCACTCCTGCTCAGCGGGACCAACCTCACCACCACTAGGGAGGTGCGGGGCTGTGCGGGGATGGGTAGCAACCGATCCTGAAAATGTCCCAGGATGCCAAGTATTTCACATCGACTACTTATGTTACTTTGGGGACCACCCAGCAATTAGGTCACAAATATCTACTGAGAGCCCACTGGGAGCCACGTGCTGGGAGGGTAGCAGGGAAAAAGGCAAAGTCCCTGCCAACGGGGAATTTCAATCCCCGCCTGGGACTTATCAGAGTAACTGAGCACATACATTCACCTCCCTCTCACTCAAAATCCAAATTAAATGAAAGGGGGAAAAAAATCAGAATACACTTAGAGCAAATGCCAGAAAACTGTGGAAATGCCATTAGTAGAACCGAAACAAAAAGGAATTTCTGAGCGTAAAGCAAATGATAAGAATAGTATTAGTTCATGTTTACTGGATACTTGTACGTTAGGGACTATGACGGGAGCTTTGCACACAGTATCTTCGCTGAGTTTCAGAGAAATCCTATTAAGAAGATACCATAAGTAAATCACTTTGCAGATGATGAAACAGCTCAGAAAGGTGAGGTCACCTCCCAAGGTAACCCTGTTAGAAACTGGTGGAGATTGGAACTGAATTCAGGCAGACAGATGTCTAAGTTATACTGTCACATGGGTTTCCATGGTCTATGGAAACGAAAAGATCCAAAGGACCTGCAAGACTGTACAGGTGCCAAAGGGAACTGTGAGAAAAGGAAGTTCTTTCAAGAGAACCCCACTAAACCCCAAACTGTGAGAAAGCAGAGGTTGACCAGATGGCAACTCTTGTATGACAGAGCTGAAACTCACGAAAAATGATACATTTTGACCTTGTGATTCTTCTTTTAGAATTCAACTACGAGAAATCCTCACACAACTGGGTAGGGGTATTTGTTCAAGGATGTTCACCGGAACTTTACTGATAAGCCAATAGTTGAGGTAGGCTGAGTAACGAAACTGTGAACACTATATATATGACTAAAAGGACTCTGGCGGCACCTGAGTGGCTCAGTTCCTTAAGTGTCTGACTCTTGATCTCAGCTCAGGTCATGATCTCAGGGTCGTTGACATCAAGCCCCACGTCGGGGCTCTGTGCTGAGCAGGGAGTCTCCTTAAGAGTCTCTCTCTCCCTCTGCCCATCCACCGCCCCACCCTCTGCTTATGCTTTGTTTTTTTCTTAAAAAAAATTTTTTTTAAATAAAAAAAGGACTCTGAAGATTTTTTTTTTTTAAGTAGGTTCCACGCCCAGTGTGGAGCCCAATGTGGGGCTTAAACTCACGACCCTGAGATCATGACCTGAGCTGAGATCAAGAGTCGGATGCTTAACCAACTGGGCCACCCAGGCTCCCCTTAAGGATTTTGAGATGGGAAGAGCCTGGATTATTATCCAGGTGGATCCAGTGTAATCACAGTGATCCCTGTTAGGACCCAAGAGGAGTCACAGTCAGAAGAGGACAAGGTGGTGACATGAGGACAGAAACAGACTGAAGTCATGCACTTTGAAGATGGCTGAAAGGGCCCCAAGACAAGGCACGCAGGCTGCCACCCAAAGGTGCAAACAAGGCCTGGAAACAGATTTCCCCTGAGAGCTTCCAGAAAGAGCCAGCCCTGATAAGAACTTGACCTTAAGCCAGTGAAACCGATTTCAGCCTTTGGACCTCCAGAACTGCAGGAGAAGAAATTTATGTAGTTTTAAGACACTGTGTTTCTGGCAATTTGTTACAAGAGCAATAGGAAACTAATAATACAATGGTGAAAAATTAAAGACCGCCTACAAATCTATCAACAGGGGAATGGGTAAGCAAATTATAGGACACTGATTCCATGAAATGTTTTATATATAACGCCATTAAATAGAATGAGGTAGATCTGTATGGCTGACCTTGGAATTTGACCTTGACACACTTGATTCATATGAAAAATCGAGCTGCAAAACAATCCATATTTGTTGAAAAATTCTTTACCTATCTACCTTTTATACAGATACATTTGGAAGAATACAACAAGCTGTCCACCCTCATTATTCTTTCATGTTTGTGGAGGGACAGAAAAGCAATCTTTTATTACTTTGTACCCTTACATTGTTTAACAGGGTGTGTGCGTTTGTTTTGAAATCTTCTCGATTCCATTTTCACTTGTGTATTGAGTTTTCAACTCCACCTCTTTGTGTTCGTAGTGGTTGCTCTGAGAATTATAATATACATTCTTAGTTCTTTGTGGTCTAGTTAGAGCTAACACTTGATTTCACACAGAATGCAAGAACCTGCAAGTATATGGGAATGTCTACCACCCCTTCCTCATGCTATCCCTGTTAGAAAGATGCTTCCAGTTCAGACAGTTGACAAGACTCACCAGACCTCACCAGGCGTGCTCACGGGAGGCAGTGGGTATGATGCAACAAGACAGAGAGTGCACTGAGGCCCTGGAGGACCGAGAGATGTTCCATGAATCTCCCCTTATTTGCACACACGGATGAGGCTGTGTCCTTGGACTATATGAGGAATTTTGATTTGGAAGAGTTCAAAGAGGAAACTCTGAGCAGGGGCCTTTTGTGTATCAAGCAAGGCTTGTCAAACCATGTAGGCCAGCTGCCAACCGTCAGTGAAGAAGATGACCCTGAGGGTGGCCAGGGGCACTGGGATCTTAAACAGCACATCCACTGCCTTTATCGTGCCCAGGGGTCAAAAATCAGCCATCCGGTCATCCCCAGAGATAAAGATGGAGCTTTTCCAGTCCAGACACAAATGAACTCTAGATCCACGGCTGTCATATGCACTATATTCACCTACATTATAAACTCCATCATTCAGTATATATTTGCTCTAAATAATCGTAGACATTTTAAAGAAACTGAGAGGAAAAAGTATTTCTATATTTATATTTACAGCCTCCATTTCTAATGCTCTTCACTTGCTTGCCAACATGAGAATTCCCATCTGGTATTATTTCCTTTCAGCCTGAAGAACTTCCTTCTGTCTTCATTCTTAAAAGACTACCTTTGTTGGTTATAGAATTCTGGGTTGACAGTTTCTTTCTTTCTTTCATATAAAATGTTATTCTATCGTTTCAGATGAGAAGCCAATGGGCATTCAGACGCTGATGCTCTGTATTTTGTATAGCATCTTTATTCTGTCTGCTTTCAAATCTTTGGTTTTCAGTAAATTAGTGGTCAAAAAAAAAAAAAAAAAAACACTGGCTCTGGGTTGCAAAGACCCTCCTCTCCAGCTTCCCTTAGCTACAACCAAGACTGTCTCTCCAGCTCATGGGTGTGGGAGAGCTCAGACAGTGAAGAGTCCTCCCTCTCGGCAGAGGGCAGCCCAGTCATTGCTGGATATTGCTTTGCACTGCGTTTGCTGCTCTTTACATTCTGGTTTTCTGAAACACCCATCTCCTTGTAATTCGAGAATCAAAGCAAAGCCTAGCCTAGTGGGCAAGAGGCATACCAAATTTGGCAGGTCCTAAAATAAAGCTGTTGCTGCTTATGATGATAATAACAATAGGAGGAGCCAGTATTTACTGAGAATTAACATGCACTGGTCTCAGCATTTTACATATACTTTCTCGGAGCGTAATGTTAACTGTATAGATGACCTTATCTGGGGTCAAGGCTAGCCGTGAGACCTTGGTCAAGTTATTTGCTTTTCCGTGCCTCAGCTTCCTCACTTGTAAAATGTAAAAAAAAAAAAAAGTAAAAACAATGTAAAATTAACAGTCCCCTTGAACGAATCAAACAAGGTACGTGTATTATTAATCCCATTTACAAATGAGGAAATGAGGCACACTGAAAATAACTTGCCAAGGTCACATCCCTAAGCTTGGATGTGAACTTAGGAACTGAGGGTCCACATTCATAACCTGTAGGCTACCACTACTTTTGGGGAAAGCGGCCAACGAAAACAGAGGCTTTGGGGATGGCAGGATGGAAAATCCATGGAAGGAACAGGAGCTGGTGTTGGGGGGAAGCTGTGATCTCCATGTGGAAATATTCCCTAAAAGTTTGGGAATGACAGTGTCTTTAAGGGAAAGCTCCAGCCCGAGGACAGAGATTTGGGAAAGATCTTCAGAAGGTTAAGGTAATGAAAAAGAATGTCAAAAGGGCAATGAGCAAGAAGGGCCCAGGAGGGGGACACGTGGACAGTGTGCCATCCTAGCAACCCCCAGCCCTCTGTCCTCCCCAGTGCCAGCCTCAGGGCCCAAGTGTAGCTGGACTCCTTCTGGGATGCCCACCACCAGCAGCTCTGGCCTTCAGTGTCAGCTCGAAATGACCCCACAACCAGGATCTTTTCCTGCTCTTCTTGGATGTTGAATCATTTCCTAAGGTCAGTGCCATGAACTCCCCGAAGACAGAAATATCGCCTTTCCTCTTTGTAACTCCGGTGCCCTTGCAGAGCATCCTGTGCACAGTTGGTGCTCGATAAATGTTCGCTGAGGGTGCCTTTGCTCCTTCCATGTCTTTGTCCCAAGCGAGACTATATCCTCTGTGAAGACAAAGACTGCCTAATACCTGATACTCCACACCAAGCATTTATTGTAGCCAGAAGCATATATTCAGAGCTGACTCAATCTTGGATCATAAAGTGAGGTTAGGGTGAATTAAGAGCAACCTGGAAACAGAGGAGGCACATTCCTCAGCACTCCCTCCCTGCATCCTGGGGAAAACTTACAAAGCTCTGGATTCCCCAGTTTTTCTTGGAGAGAAAATTACCCAAAGAATGGAAATACATCCACCATCCCTAAACCCAAAAAGCAATTTATGAAAAAGACAGACTTCACTTACTGTCACCTTAGTGGGCAGCAAATCCACAGCCATTCTCTCCTTGTCGGTTTTCCTAGCAAGGGAGTGCAGACTGCTGACAAGGTAGGTCTGGAGAGGAAAAGGTGTCATGAGGAACTCTGGTGTCAAGGGATGGCTTGGAGAGAGCAAGTTCCAACCACCCGTAATGCCTACTGGGTCCCAACGAACCAACAGCACATAAACCACGCAGACCAAAAAAAAAAAAAAAATGCGTGCTTACAAAGCCAATGAAGCTCTAAGACAATTCGCCCATCTCCGTCTCCTTGTATTAATGATGTTTTAATTGCTATAAGGTCACCTAAGGTCTTCTAGCTGTGACTCCACAAACTGCGACTCACCCCTAGATACCTGGAGGCCTTAGGGAAGCTTTAAAGGGTACACGCTGTAAAACCCACAATGAACATGAATTTTCCCAGCTGCCACTTTCCAACACAGGCAGCCAATCCTAGGTCGGCCTGCCCCACCTAGCCCCTTCCCCAAGAAATCACACTACAGGCGCTTGCCCATATTTGCCTTGTCTCTCTGCCGAAAGACCCACCCAGGTGCTTTCCCTGAGTGGCCCCTGCCTGGAGTGCTGCATGGGTCCTCCATATAACACAACCTGCAAACCTCCCTCCTCCAGCCCCCGCCCCCAGATCCGGCCAGACCTTACCACACCAACGGGAATGTGGTTAAAACACTCCCTCTCGCACAGATGCACACCAGACTGTTGCTCGGCGGACCCTCCTAAACACACATCCCACAGGGGTCGCCACCGAGAGCACCCACAGCAGAAAACAGCTCTCCTTCTCACACACAAACCGCAGCTGGGAGGACACAGAAGGAGGGCGCCTGGAGCAGCCAGACCAGTGTCAGAGGGGGGCCCGGCCACAGCTGCCTGCCCTGGCCACCTGGCTTTGCCGAGGGCTCTTCGGGGAGCAGCACCTGGCGTGAGAGCTCAGCTAGCTGAGTGTGGGGTGTCATCTGGGGCTGGGGCGCCTCAGCCAGGTGGGGGAAGCTGCTGGAGGAGTAACCATAGACACTCCGTGATGCATACCTCCTCCACACCAGAATCGGGGGTGCTTTGCATGTATTGTTTCTAAACCTCACGAGGACCCTAAAAAGTATTGCTACCCCATTTTACAGATGCGAGGGAGGCTGAGAACTTAGGGAGTCGGACCGACCTGCCAAGAAACAAAAAATGTGAAGTAACGGGCAGGAACGGAATCCTTGTTCCGGTCCAGGGCCCTCGCTAAATGTGGCAAATTACCTGGCCGCTCTGCCCCAATTTCTCCGTCTGTAAAATGGGGGCAGTGTGCAGCCACCTTACAGGGCATAAATCCCGAAGGATGAAATGAGTTAATTCATCCAAGGCGCTAGCCCTCTGCCGGGGACACCGAGTGCTCGGCGGGCACGAGCTATTGTTTTCCCATCACAGAGCAGTCTCCCAGCAGACAGGCCCCCACCGACCCCGCGCCCGCAGCAGTCCGGGCACGCCCCAGCTCACCTGGCCGGGCGCTCCCTCCCCGCGCGTCTCCCGCCGACCTGCGACGCCCCCAACGCGCGGTCGCCCGGGCCGCGGGGACCGGCCCCTGACCCACGGGCCGCGCCGCGTCTCCCGGTGCCCGCGCGCGGCCCCGCCCGGCTCCGCGCTCCCCACCCAAGCCGAGACAGGCGCTGGCTCTACCGCCGGTGGGAAGAGGCCCCCGGGAGGTCTCCGCCCCAGGCAGGCCGCCCCAGTGCAGCCGGGGTCACCAGCGCCACCGGCCCCAGAAAGGCCGGGGAGCAGTCCCGCAACCCCGCGAGCCCCAGGACTACCACTCCCGGCATGCCTCGGCCGCGCGCGGACTACATTTCCCAGAAGGCGGCTGGGCGACCCCCGGGAGATGCCCGCTCCCCGCCCTCGCGAGCTCACGGGACCCGCTGCCCGTCCCCGCGAGGTCCGCGGTAACGCGAGGGCGCGCGCGAGCCCAGTAAGGCGGGTGGTCTCCTGCCAGTGCCGGCTGCCTGCATCCGCCCGGGGGCTTGGGCTAGGCAGGCAAGGTGATTTGCAAAAACAAAACCTGAATTTAGACGCCTTTAGGAGAATCCGTGCGCCACGGCCCCCCACCAGCTAGTTGTGATTATTTGTATTTCAATGCGTACCGTACCCAGAAGACGTATGCATAGGTACAGTTTAAGAAGGAAACCAATACCCACAGACCCAACACTTTGCTTAAAAAAAAAAAAAAAAGATATTTGACCAGAATTTCTGAGGCCCTGTCCACAATGCTCCCCTGTCATTTGTCTAAATTGTGCTAAGCATTTGGCTTGCTTAGCTTGATGGTATTGTATTCCACAGTAAGTGTGGTTTTTTTTTTTTGCAAGGTTTTTGATCTTTATATAAATGGAATCTGCTGTATGTTCTCCTGTGACATGCTCAACATGAAAGATGTTTGAAAAAAAAAATCAACTGAGTATGTTTTAAAGATCTTATTGGCTCAGTGATTCATGAACCAGGTAGTATCCTATCTAGCAGGTAGGAAGGAGCTCCAAGAAGTACTACATGCAAGCCTCTTATAGGCAGAAGGGAGCAGGAACAAGGAAGTTATACTTGGCAAGAAGTGGATTGGTTATTACAAGGTTAGTTTCCCTACAGAAGATGGCAAAGATTTATCAGCCAGATTACTTAACTAATGATGATCACGGGGCTCCTGGTTGGCTGGTTTAAGATTCCATTTCTGGAAGAGCTGAAACTCTAAGTAAGTCTTTGTTTGGTGAAGGGGCAATTTAGCCTGAGAGATCCCTTTTTGAGCCTGTTATCTTTAACAACTTTTAGATTCACCTATCTTGATACATTCAAAGTTCATTCATTATCACTGCTGCATAAGATTCCATTATTCATTCATTCAAGAACAACAAAATATTCAACACCTCTCTTGCTCCTGGCATTGTTCTAGATGTTAGAAATACACCAGTTGAACAAAACTCTCAAAACCTCTGCATCTGTGCAGCTTAAATTCTCTGGGAGGGGAGAGAAGAAAGATGATAAACAAGTATGTTTTTAGGTAGTGATGGGCGCTAATAAGGACAAGAAAGGGGGAACAGCAACTCTAGTGGGGGGGGGTACCGCAATGTTATACAAAGTGGTTAAGAAGCGTCTGACTGAGAAGGTGACATTGAAGAAAGATCTGCAAAGAGATGAAGAGTGAGCCCGGTTGAGGATTTGTGGGAAGGCTTTCCAGCAGGCTGAAAAGCAGATGCCCGGAGGTGGGGGCACACCTGGCCTGTTGAAGACACATTAATACTGTTGCCAAAGCAGAAAGAAGGCAGAAAGAAGTATGTGCGAGATCAGAGGCAAGAGGACTAGAATGTGCAGGCTCTTATTGGTCACGGTCACTGGATCTTACTCTGAAAGAGAATGCTCTGGGAGTAGGTAGGTAGCTAGGTGTTAATAGGATGCTGGAGGCCAGCGAACGGGGACTCGGGGTCAGCTACGGGGGGAAGTTAGAAACCTGTCCTGACAGCGTTCCCAAAACAAAGCCACAAAAAGCCGGATCAAGCCAGACAGGCCCAAGACGGAAGGCTGGAGACCCTGATCAGGTAAGGGAGAAAAGGCGAGAAGCCCCTCCCCAAGTAATATATATTCCACTCCCTAGCTAAGAACTGTCAGTAAAAGATGTAGAGACCCGAACCCAGCTTCCCCTTGAGCTCATCTGTTCCCACGACTGGAGAGCATACTCTCACTTGAATAAGATTTCCCACTTAACACCGCTCAACCGTGTGTCCCGTCTCTCCTTGAATGCCTTCTTGCGACAAGACCAAGAGCCTCCCGCAGCATCCCAAGGATGGGCGGGACAGAGGCCTCAGAGCCCCAGGGTCTCCCCTGTCCAGCCTCTGATGTCCATTTCTAAGTGACCACTCTGACAGCTGTGCTGAGCGTTAACCGAAGGGTCAAAGGAAGCAGCCGAGAGACTGGGACTAGTTAGACATCCATGGCCGTAAATTCTGAGAAGACAGCAGTTTGGACGGAGTAGTTATAAGTGGTTGGAAAAGCTCAAAACTCAAAGTATGGAAAAGATGAGGATGTTAAGAACATTTCGAATATAATGTTTTTCAACTATTAAGTATATCTTTTTAAATAGTCCTGGCAATAGTGTTTTTAAAAATACTCTTTATGCCCCATTTTTCTGATGGTAAAAATCAAGAATTAACTTTTCCTCTGACTTCCTTTATACATTAAGCCAAATGCAAATTTATTCTACTTTGTCCCGTTTAAAATGTTTATAGTATGAGCTAATAGGCCATGACCACCAGTATCCAATTTTAATACTTCCATATTCCACTTTCTCAGCTACAAATTTTGGCAATTTCCTCAAGTTTTATCATCTATATTTATTTATAAGTAAATCTATTTTAACCTTTTTCTTTAAGATTATTTATTTATTTGAGAGAGAGAATGAGATAGAGAGAGCATGGGGGGGAGGGTCAGAGGGAGAAGCAGACTCCCCGCTGAGCAGGGAGCCCGATGCAGGACTCGACCCCGGGACTCCAGGATCATGACCTGAGTCGAAGGCAGTTGCCCAACCAACTGAGCCACCCAGGCGCCCTAACCTTTTTCTTTTGTTCACGTCTGTGACCACTTCCTTAGGTTTCTCTTTGGGTCTTGGTATTTCTGTTCCTTTTTCACATTCTCACACTGGTTTGTATCAGTGCCCTCCCAGTAATTCCACAGCCTCCTGTACTTGGTCTTCTGAAGAAACCTGAGGCCAATTTGAACTTCTTCTTCCCTTGCAGGTAACTTTCATTTCTCTACTTTGACTTCTATATAAATCTCACCTCCTCCACCCCAGTTTCCTGTATCTTTAAGTATTTCTATTTTTCCCCCCTGTATCTAGCAACTGGTTTTTCCATTGTTTTTGTCTTGGACACACACAAAAAAGGGAAAGTCTCAGTTCTGGGTTTTTTTTTTTTCTGCTTTCTTCATTAACATCTTCATTAACATAACATTATTCTTGAAGTCTGGCTTTCATATCTCTGATAATCTCACTCTGCCATTCTGTGTCTTTTCCTCTGTTTTCTGAGAGGATTCTTCAAATTTACCTCCAAGC